AGAATATTGGACCGGCAATAGAGCCTTTTGATTGGTTGATTTTATTTATTGGCCCTCTGACTGCCCGAATCGTGTAATAAATTATGTTATTGCCTAGGCAAAAGCCTTCTTCGTATTCGCTATCACAATTTGTTTACGTCCGGTCACCAGTCAGTTACGCCATTCTTTAGTGGTGCACCCCCCCCCCTCAGAAAAATCCTGGATCCGCCCCTGGGAGCTGCTTGAATTGGTGATCATTTCCTTTATTCTCAAGAACTTTAATGTGTGATTTAATGGTGATATTGTAAGGAGAAATTAGAAACCAGTCACTCCTGGCGGGCAAAAGAGTTGTTAAGAACAAGAGACAAAACCTCTTACAAGAAACGGCTTTTAATACGGACAAACCCGCCACGCGCAACTCGCGCTTGGTTACCGCGCCTAGGCTTGGTAGCCACCCCTACGATACTCGGTACCAGTCTTACAGAGTAATTTGAAATACACAATATGGTTAATTAGACTCTGTTCCTTCTTATTTCAGACTGTGGCATCCAGTGTGTTGGTTCTCTACCTCAGTGTAATCTTCCACGACTATTCGGTTTCCCGAAATGCACCACACAGCTTGACAACTGCAAGTTCAACAAGCCGCGCCCTTTCAGACCAGGAGTGATTATGCTTGGCGAACCTGAATGTTATTAGAGAAACTCTTCGATCGGGTGTGGAGAGGTATCTGCCTTCCGAGCACCAGAATGAAGAGAGATGTTGTTGCGTCACGCTAGCGTGTAACGCCTCCAGTTAATTCAAACGCGACGTATCTACGACCCGAAGACGAGAACTCTAAACTAAGTTCCGGGGACTTAACCTTTAAATTCCCATGAGTGACCATAAGAAAATTTCTCCGTACAATATCAACACAATATCCAGCGGACAAGTGATAAGAATTAAGAAAAATATCAACTAGGTTATCATTAGTCAATCCAATACCAAAGTCTCCAAACTGACATTATAAGAATTGTATGTCAGACACTGAGGAGAATTACTAATGAGATTTTGGGCGTGAAAGGGTTAACCTCTGGCTGCCAAATTTTTCTGTCGTTTGGATTTTGAGAGGCTACGAAAATTTAAGATTGACTTTTCCTGAACCAGTTCCCTAAACTCCAATAAGTGACCAAGACAGAATTTCTCCTAACAATGTCAATACAATATCAGGCAGACAAGGGATGAGAATAAAGAGTTATTTTAAATCAGGAGATATTTAGTAGATCCGATACCAAATTCTCCCGGCAGCCATAGCAAGAATTGTATGTCAGACAGGGAGGAGAATTATCAGCGAGAAATTGGAAGTGAAAGGGTCAAGAGGTCCCAACGGGCCTCATATGATGCGTGACAAACTTAAAGGATTTATGGCGTACACTTACGCATTTTAATTTCATTGAAAATTTCATTTTATGAATTTCTATGCATTTTGATTTAATCAATTCTATTAAAAAAATTCGTGAAAATTGTTATAATCCCTTAAAAATTCACGGATATTTTGACTGAACGTTACAAAAGATATGAACTAATTGACGGCATCTCCTACGCAGCGGTTGTCTGGCTGTGTAACGCAACGCCAGAACGCGTTGCATTACAAAACCAACACCTAACAACGGCTGTGCCAATAAAAGTGTTGGAGAACGTGGCAAGATTTACGTTACATAAGTTTCACGTACTAGCCCCTTCAAAAGACAGCTAGGAATTTCAGATATTGATATTAACATTAGTTCCGTAGCTTCTTTCTTTTAAAGCGCATAAACAGTTTATCGATAAGTGGTTTAATCCATGACAACTGTTACATCAAATGAACATTTGTAAACTTCGTGTCACGCCACGCTTAGTACAGTGTACTGATCGGCATGATTTGGATTCGAATCGAGGTAAGACGAGGGCCCGTTAGTATCATATCAGTTCGTCTAAGATCAATAAATGATAAATAAATAGTAATAAATCTGCGAGCTAACAACCGGGTTTACACGTTGTTGCACCTTGTAATTGACGTCATCAAAGGAAATCAATTATGACGAAATCAAAGCAACTCGAAGTTCATTGCGCTAGCACATTGTTGTTCAAGTAAACAGCAAAACTTTGAAGGAACACTTGAAAATCACTTTTGGAGCCTGGACCCTATTTCTGTTATGTCACGAAATTATTTTTTCTTGAATTAAGACAGAGGAAGGTAGTGTACCCAGAGTCGATGCGGTACTATTTTTGAATATGTATGGAATCAATATTTGACTGCTGGAGTTGTCCCGCAAGACGAATTTTTCGATTGACAAGGTACGGCAAAGGATTAAGGTCATGCATGTCCAATAATATTTTGTGAGGCGAGGTTTCTGCTGAGTGTTTATTTGTTCTGGGGTCCAGTTTTTTTTTTTTGTTTTAGAAAAAATCTTCCAAGCATTCGCCGACCTACGACACGATTAAGACTGTCGTCAATATATGATCGTTTAAAAGAATTATTGACCTAATGCAGTATGTTAAGGCCATTCTTGGAACATTGTGATCCAACATCTGCTAACGAAGATGAACAGACAACGACCTCTAATGATTTAACACTGAAAATCGCCCAGCAATCACCCGCCATAATTTACGAATGTTTGTGTTTTCTTTAATTCTCAGATTAACTTCGTGTTTTGTATGTTGCTATGTCTTCTTCTTGGTGTGCTTTTCCGGATCGTTCTTCATCCAACACGCGTTTCTGTGAGCACAAGGCGACTTGTGGGACTTGTCTGGGGTTTGGCGCTCTCGTGGTTTTGTTTCCGTTGGTAAGCTAGATTCACACCTCCGACACGCTGCTCATTTTCTTGCTTCCATATTAATGGTCACGCTACGAATCTTGCGTTTAAAATTTATCGGGTTTTGCAGTTTCCTCTTCTACATTTTGCATGCTTTTTCTTATTTTTTCTTCCTTATCATAATTACTCTTGCAAAAATATAATTGAATCGGTTGAATTTGTAGTTGTGAAATCTACCGCTTGAAATTTTGTAGTTGTGAGGTACACCGCCTACTGGTTNAATAAGGTAAGGAAGTTGTAGCCGCGATTTTCCCGTACTTATTCCCAAATTCCAAAAATGTGCGACCCCATTCCAGTTAACTCTATTGAAATAGTCAATCCAGACCTGAAAATGCAATCCCATCTAGCGACACATCCCCATGAGCCTGTTACTAAGATGCATTTCCCGTCCCACCCCTCAACAAATGAACCTCGATCTTCGAGGAGCTGACGCTCGGGTTCCTCACTCTTCCTGTACATCATTCCTGGAATAATACGATCGGGGAGAGGGGAGGGGAATAATTGAAACTGTTGCATCATGGGATGTGTCCTCCTCGTGTCCAGCCAAGATCTTAACCAGTCAGCAGTAATGGTTTTTGTTTTTTTTTTTGGTCCAATCTGCAGGGAAATTTTAATCCTACTCGGACTGAGTGCTGTTTGTTACACATTTACCTGGCTTGCGAATCCTGCGGTGGTTCACAGGTATGTCCTGTTTAACAATGAGTGACTTTGCTAATAACAGTGGTGTCCGAATGAACTTGGCCCCCCTAAGGGAACTGGTGGTGGGTTGGCCAATCCCGGCGTTCATCTGGACGCCAGTATCATCATATTTCGGATATTGACCTGCGAGTTCTATCGACTATCCGATTTATGTGCCAAACACAGTGGTCAAACGCCTGGGCATGTGTAAACGTTTCAATGGCTACATCACGGTGTGCTTTCAGAACGTCTGAACCAACTTGTCAGACGGACGGAGAACGACTACACAAGCCAGTAAGTCACGGTGTTTTAAAACTATACAACTTTTTAAATAAACCTCAAAACAAATCGGCAAATCAACGGCATGCGCATACTTAAGCTTTATGCTCGAAAAATCTCGAGTGTTCCTAATCCTTCTTTTTTGTTCTTTGTACGTTTCAAATTACTGTCCATACAACGCGTAACAGTGATCGTTTCTTATGTTTTTCTGAGAAATTTTACCACAGGCCAAAATTGATACCCTTGTGCATGCTCGAGGAATGACCGCTGTGCTTCCGATTACGGACCTAAGTTCTATTACCGAGTACTATTCGGGAAAAGGCCGGGCCCGCGCTCCGCCCGAGAAGAAAGAGGATCGAAGACCAAATCTGAGATAACGACGGAAGTCGAGTTTATTGCGCACCTTTTTTCGGGGCTCAAGTCCTAATTGTCACCTGGGAGGGGAGGGACGGCGAAGGGGGAAAGTGACCACGTTACTGTCTCATTAACCATTTAGGGCAAGCCAGACTGCTTAATTGTGATGATAAAAATTTTCTTTATCTTTTTTACTTATTTTCTTATCTGTCAGATTCGTATTTATCGCTGCACTGGGGACGTTGTCTGTGGCACATGTTTATAGACAAGTAACAAACTATGGAGAACATGCGGTAGATTTCTCTGGGTGAGTGAGTACCTTTCATTATTTTAGGCACTGAAATCATAATAATAATAATAATAATAATAATAATAATAATAATGATATTTATCCAGGGAGCCCACTCGCCTTGGCGCTTTTTAGTGGGACCCTGCAAATAATAAAATAAAATTACGTGGGAAAAAAATTGATATTACCATATTAATTAATTTTAAAATAACTCAACAATGAGATAGCCCATTAGTTACAAACTTTTAAGCTTTGCCTTAAAGAGGGACGATGATCTGCTGTCATGAGTGTGATGGATGTCCTCCACTGGGGTGGGATGTGTGGGGGGAAAAGGTGAGGTCGTTACATGGACTAAAGCGGCTGCCAGAGGCGCCTGATAATGCTGACGTCCAATCTCAACCTTAATAACATTGTAAACCTTAGCAATTCAGCCTATGCTGCTATTAAGGTATCGAATAAACCATTCACTATTCACCATTCACTACATTAGCAATAGGTAACCTGAGGCGAGTATTAGATATATTATTAGGCAGGTAAACAATAGCAATATTCAAATAGTTGATTTCCCTGGAGGGCTGTTCAATCTTGCATACATCTAAATAATTTTTAACATTTCTCAATAACAGGTTTTACTTTCGATATTATTCATCAGCTTTAGATAACGTTCTTTCAATAAATATATTCAATCTAAAAAAAAACTATAAAGATATAATTATTTCAACAATAGCATAGCGATGCTGTGTGATCAAAATATAAAAGAATTGAAAACGATTTTTAAAACCGAAAGTAAAATACGCGAAAATTCAAGTATTTTAACCATAATTTACACTTATTGTCCAACTGTACTAAGTAGAGAACAAAGTATAACGAACCGTTATTTGGACAGCTGGTAAAACCTGTCACAGATCGCTTTCCTTTCCCACCTTATGAGAATGCATATACATTAATGCTGTTGGATCGATAATAAATAACTTAGGCACAACTCGTTAAAATAATCAGGGACTCTAACACGAAAATATGTTTATGGTTGTTGATCATGACTAATAAATATTCATGACGAAATTGGGACCAGAGAAAAACTCCGGATAATTGCGAAATCCGGATAATCGAGGTCCGATTAAGATTTCTTGGGCTCGTGTTCAGCGATTTGGTATTCGTAAACGCTACAAGACACAATTGTAAAGCGTCACCGAGTATTTTTTTTTTAAATCTAGTATTACCAATTGAAATGATCTTTTTTTTTATTGGTTTTTGGTCATTTTCTATACTTATTATGCCGTAATGCAGATGTAAGGTATTATTCCGTCTGCGTTCGTGATTACGCATATTCTATGACGCTTTTATGCAGACAAGCTCCACCGAGGTCAATTTTCTACTGGGCATGCGCTGCTGGCATCTCAGAACCCTTCCCATTATAGTATTTACGGTGGCCAATTTACCATTTCAACTTTTGTTGATATATCCAAATTATTTCGTTGCTCCCACCGACGCAGCCCCAAACAGTTTCTTTCGAAACTATCAGCCTTTATTCATTTGAAACGCTTTAAGATTTAAATCCCAAATGCTCTCTCTTTGTTAAGTTTTCATCGCAGCCGTTGTTTGCTTTTGTCCAACTTGCGATTAGGCGTTACTTTTTCGAGGAGTCCTCCTTTACGTCTTGCTACGCAGACGTGTTCTCCGAAAGAAAGCGTGCGAGGTCTTGTCACGCAACGCAACGGATGAGAGCGCGTGTGACAAGACTGCTTTTTGGGTACGCGTCTTTGTCTGAGAGAACAACTTTTATCATCCAAGCACATTCTACACGGGTCGATGAGGTCGATATTGAGGCTTATTACGCAAAGCTGTCCCTCTTTTGAGCAGCGTCGAGAAGCCATCTAGCATTACTTGTTCTGAAGGCCACCCGTAGATAGGCCCAACGCCGGAAGCGAGGGGCTAGAGAGCGTAAGAAGGGAAGCCTGGTGACGAGTTTTGCGCTGACATATCGATATCTTTGTTTGATTTTAGGCCTCTAATGCTGATCGTTCAGAAAGTTACTTACATAGCATTTAATCTTCACGATGGTAAGTTGATAAGAGATGATTTGTGACTTTGTTAGATCAGGGCATGTAGTTCTGGTAGAGGTGACCTCTACAAAGCCGTAAGCCACCAAATTTTGCCTGGAGATTAAACCACTCTTAAATTTTTCTTACACCGTTGCATTACCAGCCATTCTTCTCGAAATTCTTCAGCATTCCTCCCTTAGGAAGATCAAATGATCGGAGCCGAGGAAACGACAGAAATGCTAACTACCGGTTCTTGCTTACACCCGCGCTTCACTCTCCTTCCCCCTTCCTCCCCCCCCCCCAATCCTTAGCCCATACTTTGTTGAAGAGGGTGTTGGAAATCAAGCCTACTATTGCATTGTCGTTGCTAAGGAGAAGGGGGGATGGAGCTGGCAGAATGTGATCCCCTCTTCTTTGACAATGGATAATCTTGCATTGTCGCTAATCGTTAACTGTCCCTTGCCTTGTCACCAGGAATTGCGAGAGACGAGAGTAAGCTAACAGATGAGCAAAGAAGAGAAAAACTCAAGTGAGACTTTTATTCTTCTGTCATTTTTTTCCTGAAAACTCAGGCAATTCATTTGGGGTACAGTTTCGAGTAAGTGTCTGTAAACCAAAACCTTGAGAAATCAAAACCAATCAGAGCAAAAAAATTATAACAATGAGAGGGGACCTCAAAGTAAACTACAAAAAAAATGTATAAAAACGTGAGTGACCAGGAGGCAATTGAATTGAAAGGAGTGGCAAATGTTCTGAAACAATCACCGAGTAAAGTGAATCAAAACCAACGCAGTCCCGGATGATAACACTTGGTTAAACATTGCTCCAGCAACATGTTTCGTATCCAGGCCTCCCACGACTTAGCGTTGAGATCGTAAACTGGCGCCGGGTAAAAAGTCCTTGCAAATCCAGTTCTCCAAAATCTTATTTATCTGTTATACATTATGAAAACTGTCTCTGAAAACAAAGTGAATAGTACTTAGAAATCGCAGACTTACTCAGAAGTCTCATCATTTGAATTTTTTCCCACACAGCGCTGCTCGTTTTCATTACTAAACTCAGTGGTTTCTTTTTTACTTTAGAAAAGTCCCGTCTCTTTTGGACTACTTTAGTTACCTGTTTCACTACAGCACCGTTCTTGCAGGACCGGTCTGCACTTTCAAGGAATTCAATGATTTTATCGACGGCTCAGATATCAGACCTAAGGTACTTTGGTAAACACTTGTGGAAAAAAACCTGTTAAAGCGCTAGAAAATGTGCCTTTGAGAAGCGCAGGGCACCTTGTAAATGTTGTCACAAGTGTGGGATCGAACTAATTTTGTTTTTTTCCCCTTTTAATATAGAAGCCTGGTGAAAAAGAACCCTCGCCTTTGGTGAGAGAATTTTCCTGTCATTATAAATTATATGTAGAAAGTCTCCGTTTTTAAATTTCAAATTCAATTTTCCCCTTCCTCTCCCCCTTTGCATTATTTATGTATTCACGCGTGGCGCGCGTGATTTTACAAATAAACTAATCACGTCAAAGAACTTTAATCTAGACATTGAAAATTGACGTAGACATTTCGCGCGTATCTCGGTTGGTTCCTTTTTTTTTGTTCATGGAGTTATTTTGCTGGTTGTTTTTGAGTTTTCATTCACGCCAATTTATTATATTATCCCTCAGTTTGGAGTTTTTATTCAGCCGAATGTTCTGGTTATTTGAACAAGTTAATACATATTTTCTACTGAGTTTGGACTCTAGCTTCTTTTTTCGTTATTGAGATTTTTACAATATAACAGGACTGAAGGCACGTGCATTTATTCCTTTTTGCGTTTGTTGTCTCCCTGTTTCAGATGGATGTATCAAAGAAAATGTTGTCCGGTTTCATGTGTGTGTTCATTTTATTCCTGACTGGGGCAGATTATCCGGTATCTAGAAATGCAGGTAGATGGTTAGTCAGTAACATGTTAGGTTGTCCAGTCTCTTAAGGGCGTGTGTGAATTAATGAGCTAATCAGTAAGTAGATCGGTCGGCGAGTCGGTAGGCTGGTTAATAAGTCAGCCCATGGGTCAAGTGGTCAGTCAGTCAGTCAGTCAGTCAGTCAGTCTGTCTTTAAGTGAGTCATCCAGTCATTCAGTCCGAGTCAGCCATTCATCCAGTCAGTCAGTCATTCAGTACGTCAATCATCAGTCAGTCAGACAGTCATCCAACACGCTAATCATTCAGTCAGTCAGATAGACATTAAGTCAGTCAGTCAATCGGTCGGTCATTCAGTCAGTCGGTCAGTCAGTTAGTCATTCGGACATTTAGTCACTCAGTCAGTCAGTCGGTCATTCAGTCAGACAGTCATCTAGTACGTCAGTCATTCAGACAGACAGACGTTAAGTCAGTCATCCAGTCAATCATTCAGTCAGTAAGTCAGTCAGTCAATCAGTTAGTCAGACATTTAGCCAGCCAGTCAGCCAAGCATTCAGTCAGCTAGCCAGTCAGTCAGTCATTCAGTCGATCAAAGAGTCAATCCGTCAGTCAGTTGGTCGGAAAAGTAGTCAATCAGTCAGACTCCAGTCAGTCAGTCAGTCAGTTAGTCAGACATTTGGCCAGCCAGTCAGCCAAGCATTCAGTCAGCTAGCCAGCCAGTCAGTCATTCAGTCGATCAAACAGTCAATCCGTCAGTCAGTTGGTCGGAAAAGTAGTCAATCAGTCAGACTCCAGTCAGTTAGTCAGACATTTGGCCAGCCAGTCAACCAAGCATTCTCTCAGCTAGCCAGCCAGTCAGTCATTCAGTCGATCAAACAGTCAATCCGTCAGTCAGTTAGTCGGTAAAGTAGTCATTCGGTCAGACTCAAGTCAGTCAGTCAGTCAGCCAGTCAGTTAATGTAGCCAGCTATAAATCATTTTAATCAATAGCTACTGTCAAAAATATTTTTTGAAACATCAGATCCCAAGTTTATTGCATCTGAACCATTCTACTGGAGAGTGCTATACGGCTGGATAAGTGCCACAGTTGCTAAGCTTAGATACTACTTTGCTTTTAAAATAGGTAAGTGACATACTTAACCCTGAGACCCCAATGGTGACGAGCATCTCATTTCTCCCAACATGATCACCTCTGAATCAACCAATTAGGTCATAAGAATAAAGGAAATGATCACGAGCTCGAGAAGCTATTGATTGTTAGACTAATTCTCCTTGTCGGCACCATAGGAAATGTATAGGGAAAAGTATGGAGAACTTGCATAGTGATGTTAGGTTGTAAAGGGTTAACAGTTACCATTCTCCGCCGTCTTATCTTGTTTTCTTCCTTCCTTTTCCCTTTTCTCTTTCTTTCAGTTCCTCCCCTCCATTCATTGTTGATTGGTTCCGTCCTTGTCTTTTTCCTGGTTTCTTTGCCTGTCAATGTATGGTGCAAACACAGACATTTTAGAGTCTGGTTAGTGATTTCCTGTTAATTGAATATTTCAGCGGAAGCCGCGAACAACATGGGAGGCCTGGGTTTTAATGGGTTTGACGAAAATGGAAAAGCCAGATGGAATCGAGTAACTAACGCCAATATTCTTAAAATCGAGGTACAGTGTCTTGTTAGTTTAATATACAACCAACGTAGTTAAACTGCTTTAAATTTTATAGGAAAATTCATCACCTGACAAGGGAATTCTGCATTAAATTGCACGCGAAAACCGATACCGCACTGATCGCGAGGCGATGAGTAAAATATCGGTTTTCAAGTGTAATTTACCGCGGAATTCACGAGTCAGGTAATGGATTTTTCTTGAATCGCATAATCGAATAAAAATACGAAAGAAAGAAAACAGCAATGATATTGTTGAGCACGAAACGAGAGATGCGAAACAGTATTACTCAGCCTTGATTTCAAATCGCAATTCCACGCTAAATACCTCGCTTCGTTAACCAATCAGAATGCGAGATTTTATTCATGGAGTTCATTATGAGATTCAAGTCAAAATAAGTTAGGTGAGCGATCAAGTTAAGTAACTCGTCTGACTAGAGGCATGAGAATTTTGCTACTCCTCCCCTGGAAGGTATGCCAGTCAGTCGCAGGCTACCCAGCCCTCCCCCCCCTCCAAATTTTGCCAGCTTTGAAAGGAAGTACGTTGGTATCATTAGAAAACCTGATCCGGGAAGGAACTGTGATAGTATGGTGTCTTTCTCAAGAACAAATCAAATTGAGTCGGCCAGGGTCTTGAACCGGACCACTTGTTAAAGAGTCCAGCGCGCTCACCATGAAGCAACGGTCCTTTCGACGAATGAATTTCTCCAAATCTGCTGTTTTTGTTCTCTCTTAGTTTGCTACAAGTATGAAAATGATGCTCGACAACTGGAACATTTCCTCTGCACTCTGGCTGAGAAGGTTCGACATTTTACACAATTTTGTTCCACAAAGTAGTTAACGTGAGGTAGACTGCACATGGGGGTACTGGAACGAGAAGTGTGAAAAAATTCAGGCTTTTAGAAACTTGGCCCTCCTCACACCATACAAACGTAAACTAATCTAAGGAGCCACAAGTTAGATGTTAGGTATTTTAAATGCTTAGGCATTCATTTAATGTTATGCATTTCTGATGTGCAGTTTATCGACCATAAATATTGCTCGTCAGGTACCTTAACAGGTAACATTGAACGAATCCAATGGGATTTTTCTTGTAACATTCAATATTTCAGGACGGTTTACGAACGGGTCAGCCAACACAGAACACTAGCTGTTTTTATCACGTCCTCGATCTGGCATGGATTCTATCCGGGATACTACATGATGTTCCTGACATTTGGACTCATGCTAGAAGCGGGAAGAATGGTAACTAAAGTAATTTCTTTTAATCTGGATAGAATGTTTAAAGAACACGTTACTTTTCTGCTTCTAGTCAATTGGCAACCTCGTAACCCAGTACCTTTTCCCTTACAATGTTCTCTCGACGAGACCGCCATCTTAAATGTTTCGTTTACCATAAGATAATTTGGTACACCCAAGTTATTTAGGTATTCTGAGATCATTTGATCAGCTGATGCCGAGGTCTTTTCCCGCCCCACGCCCAAGTAAGGGAAAAAGCCCTGGGAATGAGGTTGGTCAATCGGTAAAGAACGTAAAGACAAGATTGGTAAACCACAACTTTGAAAAGGCGCCAAAGATAGTAAAGAATGTTAACTCAACAGCTTGCTACTTCAGGGTCCTTGAGGTCGAGTTTGAGATGTCCAAGTCGTAGTTTAACTCCTTCCTCTCTGTTTTTGTATGTCGTTAGGGTCGTCGCGTCATTAGGCCATATTTTCAGAAAACACGTGCTCTAGCTTTTATTTATGACGTGATCACGTGTATTGCGACCGGCCTGTGCATGGCGGAAGGAGGAATTCCGTTTCAGCTTTTGGAACTACGCCTGAGTATTGACTATTGGAGGTGGGTATGCTGTGAAAGTTTGTTTACTGTGGGAATGGTTGTGGAAATGAGGATACTCTTAAGGTTGGTATCCTGTAGAAACCCGCGCCGTTTCGACATGATCGTAGGTAAATCACAATTTAGTCCTCTATTTAAGCGAACTTTCCTTTTAAAAGAACAGTTTTTCAGAGAATCTCTGTCCAATTTTTCCTTTTGTGGCGTTGCTGTGTTTTTCCCTTGCCATACTTTAATTCGATCTTCTCGCTTCTGGTCCTCATTTGCCTAATACATGAAAGACGGAAACAAAAGAATTGCGAAAAGGGCTGCAAATGAGCGAAATGAACTAAAAAATGTACGTGCCTTAAAAAATCGCTGGCCTGCTGTCCGCTAGAATTTTTGTACGCTATTTCTTTCGTGCGGTAGACTTCGAGCAGTTCCTTTATTACGGCGAGGTCCGTCGCGCGAGTAAGAAATACTCATTAAAAAAATGGTAGTAGCGTGCCTCGCGGAACTCTAAGATTGACGCGCAAGGAAAGTACTTTAAGTGATCCTCACTCTCAGAATTCTGCGCCGCGCAATAACGTCAACCTTTTTTAACTGATGTTTTATTATTCGCGTGAAGGAAATTGCTGAAAAGGAAGGATTGCTTGTAGTCTATTCGTGCAGCGTTAAGATACAACGTGAGAATTTATCACAAACAAACTGAGAGTCAAAAGATAAGCGCTCTTAAAATGTCATATCTTTTTCGTAGGTCCCTTTACTTCTATGCCCATATTTGGTGTCTGTTGCAAATCCTTGTCTGTCGAGGTGTAGGAACACGCATGCACACAAGACTCGTGGAGATTCCAACTAAGCCAGCATCAACAGAAGAGAATAAGAACTGGATTTACAAATTAGATGGTGGAGGAGCTAACGCAGAAATAGATCAGGGAAAAAAACTAAAACTAAACTGATTAAAAGTAATTGGGCTTAAACCAAGTGGTAATGGAGATTAAATATTTGTGTTCTTTGCAATGGAATAAAGTAAAAGGATAGATTAAAACACTTTTGGCTAAATGCATTTCCCACCTAAAATATTTTCTTTAACAAAGTATTTCTCCTTTTCTTTTATGAAACGTCGACCCTATAGGCGAATCGAGTTTTACGGTCCCAACACCTTTTTCGATTTGAGTAGGAAGCTTCACGAATGTAAAACGGGTGTCAAATGAGTTGTCGAGATCTCAAGTTTCGCCCGCCTTAGCTCGATAGCAATGCGCTCAGTCAGGGAATGTACTAATGGCCATTAAAGAAACGAAGGCTTGCTTTTGTCCAAATTATTGGTATTCGGATGCAATCCAAATACCAGTAATTTGGCAAAGACGTTTCGTTGTCGATGTTACTTTCTTGTTTAAGGCTCTCAATGGCCATTTAGATGCTGACTTTTAACAATACCAAAAACAATATTTGTTTATTTCCACCATTTGCAGATCTCTCTGAATTACTGGTAGGGTTAGACACTACACTCACAAACATACAAATATACGTGTATTTATATAAGTATACGTATAATTATATAAATATAAAGATATAAATATAGTATAGTAACAATGTAGCAGAAAACGAATGCGCATACCTACACACTGTTAATATACGAAGCATATTTAACTGATACGAACTCTGAGAAACGGTCAGTTCGGCCACGTCGCACATGACATGATGGTCCCGACCTCAGCGAATACGAGGTTTGCGACGAAATGACCCTGTTAGAAATTAGGGGATAAAGCGGGCTTATGTGCCTAATGTCCGCCACAAATTTCTTGCACGCCAGATGACGTCTGGCCTCTAGAGACAGAAGCCCGGCACGCGCGAGAGCGTCCTCGTAGCTCAAGTCAGGACCAAAGATGATTGCATGTAAATAGCGCCCAGTGTGGCTGCTTAGTTTTAGGGTTCCAATACATTATCGTCTTTTTTAGCCATTTGCGTGAGATTATTCAACGAACGTTATCACCATACAGAGGATAAAGTTCATCGGCAGTTAATAGGATGTCTTATTCCAGAAATTTCTACTAAATATCCGGAATTGTTGGAAAATTTGGATCAACTTATGTCGCGGTTCACCGGTAATGGCAGATTTCAAGTGAAATCCATAAAGCAGGAAATCCATAAAGCCACCATGATGTTTAGATGTCTGCACGGGCTAGCTCCAAGGTATCTATATTCAAAGTTTACGTGGCGTGACTCTGCTTATGACCTCAGGGACTCTGAAAATAAGCTTAATGTTCCACTACCGCGCACTAATTATTACAGAAAAAGCTTTAGCTACAATGGCGCCACATTATGGAACAGTTTACCACGCGATATAAGGAACACAGAGTCTCTGGGGTTATTTAAACGTAAGATCAATGACATTTTT